AAAAAAAATGTTCTAAATGTAAATCGAATGTTTCGATAAGGAACATCACATGATATTTTAATTATCTTAATTTTAAATTGTGATTAGACGGACAAGAATTAATTAATTAAATTATATTTCTTTGTCTTCCTGAGTTATTTTTTCTGTAATCCTATTGTTATTAGTATTAATAAAATCGACAAGGCAACCCGTTATAAAAAATAATGAAATTTCAGTTCAATAACAAAACACAAAAAGACGTCGGTGATGATAGACGAAAAAGTAAGGGACAAAGGGAGATAAGGTTATGACGAAAATTATGAAGAACGTTAATTTAATGATGGAATGGAATTTGGCTTGGTGAAGACTTGATACTCACCGGTAGTTTCAAGAGTTGGGTACAGCGCCCAGTGGACTGTGTAATCATCTAATTACCGTACGAAATTCCAAGCCATTAATTTCTAAGTGTGTAATTTGATTACTGGCAGAAGGCTCTGGTTTCACGGCGACCAGAATTGTATTCAGAAGAAATCGGGAGTTTACGTCATGTAGTCAGATCGTGTTCACGCACTGAAGATTTCTCACTTCGTTAAACTCTGAACCAGGATTTCCCAACCCTCGGCCCGTCGAGGTGTTTTGTGAAGACAGCAGACATTTTTTTTTTTGTAAAACTGTGTCACCCTGTACGTTGAAAACTAGTTATCTCGACGAGGCAAGTCATATCACGACGTAGGACGCGTATTCCTGACGAACGCTGTGGAAGGACGAAGTCGAATCTTACGACAGAAATTAAACCTGAGATTAAAAAATTATTCAAGCAAAAATATCATGAAATCTCATGAAAGTAGAACCTGTTTGCAACAGTAGGCATAATTTAGTAGTTCTTATTCCCCACAAGCATCAAGACAAGATGAAGATCACATATTTTGTAGTAGCGAACAAATAGAGATTTTTTTGTTGGAAGTTACTGTACCAGGGATTACAAGCCTCAATCCCAGGCCAAAAACCGACATGGAATAGTTTAACTTATTCTTAAGTACAGCCTCACGCATCAAAATTTATTCCGCGAAACCTAACATTAAAATATTCGCCTTACGTTAATATATTTTCGACACACCCAGTGTCTCCCGTAAAGTATTATTTGTCACTGGAAAAAAAAATATTTTTTTTGCTCATTTCGGTCGACAGGTTTCTTACAAGTTATTTTTTCTCTAAATACGAAGGTCATTTCCTGTTAGGTCACGTGATTTAAACGGTACCATGTTTAGAAATGCATAAAGTATATAACGTTCAACACAGCCAAGACCAAACACTGCAACAATTGGACGGAAAATAACAAACCATCGTTTCACGATTTTAATAGACGGACTGATGAATTATAATGTTTTTGTCACTGATGACGACTTCTTGAGGTCGAAACGCGTTTCGCACAAAGTGTTATATAATATGCAAACAGGTTTGTTTATATGCATGCCACCGGGTAAAAACCCATTTGCAGTCAAATAAATAATAAGATAGAAATTTACCCAACGTTTCGGACAGCATCGAATGTCAGTGAGATTTTTAATCCTGAATTGGGAAGGACCAAAAGCAAAGTGGTTGTGGCCTATTTTAAACCATTCCATCAGATTAATGATTACGTTGAAGACGGGCCATCTTCATGCTCGCCGCCATGAGAAACTTAAATTCTACTAAACGTTACGTTGTCTCCTAACCTAAGCACCATTCCATGTGGAAATAAACAACACATCCGAAACGTCGGAACCTGTCTGAGCAGAGATTCGAACTGGCAGTATTCAAATTACACAAGGATCATACCACCATACTGGTGATAGTCTCGGTTCTTAAAAGTAATGTAATAGCCTTGTATAATAGTACCGGGAGAAAAGTCAACATGGCGTAACAGGTTAATATTGAACGTGTATCTAAACGTCACGTTGGTCTGTTAATTATATTAAGCATATTTTGAATAACGCACGTTACCTGTGACGTCTTCAACCAGGAATTACCCGTTCTTGCTTATCGACTCCATTGCACTGTAACGATCAATTTATTACGACACTACACAACTTCCTTGCTCACAACTCACACCTGTGTCACTGAACTTCCAAGCGAAAGAACTACATGACGCCGTGCGCAGGCACACGCTGTCAATAAAGACTTTTTTGAACGGCAATTCGCGAATAAAAACGACCTTATTACCACAGACGCTCTGGGGTAGTGATACATAAAATGATGCGCAGAACAACTGCGTACAGTCCCGTCCGTATAGAAACCGAAGTACCACGTACAGGGCTGATAAAAACAAGTTCATTTCATAACGCTGTGCCAACTGACAACGTTATGAACGTCGTGTGAGATATTAAATGATTCAGAGGCGATGCACGGAGCACAACAGAACCAGAAATATAAGACAAAACACTCTTGTTAGTCAGTGTTAGCCATGCTAAGATGGTTAACACTCCGCCTCTTATACTGTGCAGTTTTGCTTGGTTTATCTTTCTGTTGGTCATAAAAGCGACAGGGAAACACTTGGGGGCAGAAATAAAAAACTTTGTAACTCATAAATATCTTCGTTTTATTTTCTTACAGTCATAACAAGTGTGAATGCCTCAAAAACATTATCGGAAGACAAACGTGATTTTGTTGCATAAGGCACACAAAGATTGGTAGACCTTCAATTACGCTAACACTATTTACAAATGTGTAAACGATCTAATCAAGAATTTTAAAGTATCATTCTTATAATTTAAGTGCATGAAATTAATATTCACAACAACAAAATTAACTCGGAAGAAATATTATATAATAATAAATCAGTCAGATTTCTTCCCGAAAATTACAAAATATTGCTTAGTACTTAAGGAATATATATTTACAATTTATATTGTCTCGTATTATTATTATTTTATTTATTCACACGAAAAACAAACAGAAAAAGATCACCCTGTATTGAATCTTACATATCAGTAGAGTCAATGGAATGACTGAACTTATGGGTACAGCGAGACAAATTATTGGAACAGAAATTTCTCTGCGAGTTGTTACCCAATACAGATTCAAACAGATGTTTAAGTGTTACTCGGTTCAATTCCTGACCTGACGACACAGGTCACTAGTAGCCTCTACTTTTTCTGAACAGGTGAATGTTGGGTCTGTCTACCGCCATTTTAGTCGCAGTATTAAACAAACATTATAAAATGTTCATTACCAATTTTATTTTATATCTAGTAACGTAATAAATATATCATTTTCGAAAATTCATGAATGTAAGTTCTGTAATGTCCATCGACAAACAAAGTAGAATTTGTGGTAATTGTTGTCATTTACAGATCGTGAAGGAATTTTTACGATTTTTTTTTGTATTTTTTTAAATTCTTACCATTGTTGTTCAGTTCAATAATTAAGACTCGTCTACTTTATTAAATCTTTAAATCCGATGAAAATTGAAGTCTTGCACACGACTACATCTCGAAAAAATTAAATAAAAGCCTTTCTTGAAGTTAGAATACATTCTTAAAACTTCTTTTTACGTGTGAAGGGTTTTGTATTCCTCTGCATACAATTTATTTTTGGTACAACAAAACACGCCAACTTCGAAGAGAAATGACGTACAATGAACCACTGATCAACTGGGAGACTGCAGTTGATCAAAAAGAGTCCAACCTGGAGGCAATTCAGGGCTTAATGACCACAATAATGACAATGTTACTATGGTAACAAAGGACTCCATCAACGCTTTGAAGGTTCTGAGAATGGAATGCTAAGGATAATTACGCGCAGTGACTGGGCATCAACAACAATGCAACCAACCACTTTTACTTGAAGAAGAAAAATTCCCTTTAAACTCGACACAAAGTCACATGGATTGTCGAGTGTTTCTGTAATTTATTCAATTTAAAGGGACCAACATTTTTTTCTGCGACGCCTCAACAATGACAAATCAAGAACAGTTGCATATTTACAGACTTCTAATTCTTTGATGTCTGTCTGAGAATGCAGGAAAAAATATTGGGTATAATCCAAATTTATAGACAAAACAATACTCGACTTGGTGAGGTTTCAGGTTCTCGCGGTATGTTGCGCCGTGTAGTCTGATAGAAATTTACCCAACGTTTCGGAGGTGCTTCCCGCCTCCATCATCAGGGCGATACCGCAACGCAACCTCCCACAAGACAGTAACCATGCACAGTTCTAATTCTCTGAATAAAAGACTGTGTATTATATCGTAATCGATCCACCAAGCCTCGTCAGTCAAGTTTGAAGCAACTGTGATTCTGAGATGCTGGGGAAGAAAACTCCAAATTTATAGGTTTTTTTGCTGGAAATGGGGAGGGGGTCGAGAAAACTCCAAATTTATCTCTTTTTTTGCTGGAAATGGGGAGGGGGTCCTTTAGAAGTGGTCTCCTGAAAGAGGAAGTCACAAACCATTTAAGGGGGAGGGGGCAGGAAAGCTCTTTTCAATGTTTTATTTTTCAGAATTGCTTCCAGATGTGTTAGAGACAGACATTAGCCTGGAGGAGGCGTGGTTTGGACTTTTGGGAGGTCCTCAAACCATTAATTATTCGCAGGGAATAAAGAACGTTGATTATGGGCAGTCCTTTACAAGCCAAAATTATTCTCACAATTTTTTATAGAGATTTGGAGGCTCGGCTCAGGTCACGTGATCTGCTTAGTGCGTCACGACGACGACGACTCAGCGATTCTTTGTGTGACACCGACGTTAAACACCGCGATCATCCTTAAGCAAAGGTACTTCCGATTACGTGTCGGGGTAAACACAGCATCACATGCAAATACAACTAGACAACCTTATTTGTTTGGGCACCGCCCATTTTCAGCCATGCTGTGTGTGCCCCTTTTTCGGAAGACGGCAAGAAATACGAGACAGAGCTGCACCGTGTTAGGGGAGGAGGCGAATTAAAACCTGCTGCATATTTTATTACCACTGAAAACGTCGTTCTTTATTAAAACTAATTTAATTTGCAACAGGAATTTAAAAAAATGCAATTTCGATCGGGGAAATTTAAACACATTTTTAGAATATTGAGTTTATAAACTGTGAATTTAATCTTTGAAACTGACCGAGGAAAAAATGGTTTCTCCTGTAACATTTCCAAAAGCAGAGAGTGTATTATATTCAACAACAACAAAAAACAGCATTAGTAATTTTACGAAAAAATTTTTTTCCAAACATTTGTTACGAAAGCAATTTCAGTACGTAAGCTCTATTATGATAATTCTGCAAGACAAAAACAAACGAATTGTTAAAAAAAATCAAAAAAAATCAAACTGTCACGAATAAGATTTAAAAATGGCGGACATTCAACTGTTCTTGAAGTACACGCGACTGAAAAAACGTACTCCATTACCAGACGATACAAAAATACAACGAAACTTTTCAATATCAGCTGAACCGAATAACAGAGATTTCACATTTGAGGTCAAATCCTGACCAAGTCATCAGGTCTCAAGGAACAAGAAAGTTACTCTCACTATTATCAATGTCCTTTCCACCTCACGCAACCCACTGCGGGTGCAGGAAGAACTCCTGAGACCCGCGTACATCACCAGGGTCGCCACGGCTTCTCCTCCACACTGGGTACTTCCGGTACACTCTCCTTCTTTACAACCAACGCCAGTGGCTTCTGCAGCGGACTGTATGGCCTGAGACGTGGCTTCTGTTCAGCCACATCGTAACCACCATTATTATGATGACGACCCCCTGAGGGACTGACGGGCAAGTGGTAAGCTGTGGGGGATGTTGCCATGTCTCTGCACACTGGGGGAGTCACCACAACAGCGCTCATCTGCGGAGGACTGCTCACCGCCAGCCTATCAAATGCTATCGGAGAAGTAGAAACACACGAAGACGTGGATGAAGACGAAGACGACGCAGATGCAGTTGAGGACGTGCGGGTAGGAATTGGGATAAGCATAGGAAGAGGGGAAGACGATGATGACGAGGGAGCTGGCGATGAAGATGGTGAACCAGTGGTGATTGTAGCGGTTTGTCGAAAAATCTGCGCTGTACTTGAACCAGAAGATGGCAACACAAGAGCAATATCGCCATTAGGAAGACGAGTTGGGACCAACTGAAGTCCGGCACCATTAGCACCAGTCGTGAAGAAAATTCCATTTGAAGATGAGGAAATGGGAGTCGGTGCCTGGTGGCCGTCGGCTGTTGGGGTGGAAGTCGCCGGTGGGAGGATGTGGACCTGCACGGCGGTCTGATGTTGCGATGGCGCTGGGGCGGAGTCCTGGGGACTGGGTTGTGGGGTGGCGGTGCCAGACGAGGTGGTGCTTGTAGTGTTGTTGGTGCCATTGAGGCAGTTAGCCAGATGCTGAAGGAGTCGCCTTCGGACAGGAGACTCGAGTCCGGGAAATCGACCTACCTCTCCGGCACACTCGCTGAACCCCGCCCGGAACTTGTTCAGCACACTGGGGTCTGTGGCGGCTGACATTGCTACTTGCTGACGCTGGAGATTTTCCAGGTGCTTGACCGTCATCTCTAAGATGTCTGCCTTCTCTAATTTGGAGTGTCTTGCCGGCTGGGACAAACACAAACACGACAATAAATGTCACGCGTACTAAACCTTGAGAATTCTACATAAAGATTTCACATTTGATACATTCGAAGTGGCTGTATATGCCCAAAATACGCACAGAAAATATCAGGGAATTTATACGTTCAAATCTACCCTCAGATAGAAAGAAAATTTAGTGCATTTCAAAAATAAAATTCCCTGTCTGCATCCACAGACTAGTAACACATCTGATTTATACCTCACTCATGCTTTAAACACACGTTATGATGAAAGATTTGTCTCTGCCAGGGATCAAACTCCTGTCTCCCAACCCGTAACAAAACAGTTTAATGAATTAACCCAACTTCAAACGATTGTTGGACCCCCATAACTTGCAAGATTCTTCAATTCTGAAACTCCCTACTGAACACTAGGGATCCACAGGTCACATCTTTATAACCAGAGATGGAGTCATGGGATGAAATCGTGCTTAGTGGGAAGTTTAATCAGCCATTAAAAATAAAGCACCAGGACACACACACACACAGCAGCTGTGTAATATACCACGTGTTAGCAAGCCTTGACTAGGGCTGGAATGTTTTATGGCCAGCGTATTGCAAAAACAGAACGTAACATGCAAGTAGTGATCCGGGTGGCATAACAGGACTCACGCCTGAATAATAAATATTAAATTTCAGTTGTGGGCACTATCAGGAAGGCAAAATTCTGATTTCTTTGCCACCTGGTGATCTGGAAGTGGGAAATGTTTTTCATGATGTCTTAGCATCCAATTCTGTTAACCACATAAGGATTCTTATTACTATATCGTTTTCCCCCCCCCCGGGCCGGTTCTCTGGACTCAAAAATAAAATCAGTCCCCCCCTTGACTCAAAAGAAATTCAATGCATCTTACGTCTTTCTTCATGGCGTCTAGTATCAGCGTCTTCAGCTCGTTGAGACAATTATTGATACGAGCACGGCGTCGTTTCTCCATGATGGGTTTGTTACTCTGAAACAAGAGAGAAAAATAAAGTCGCACGAGTAGTTCTGGAACATTCTGATCCGGAGTGAGATCTGAGATTCTCAAGTCGACGAGTCTGAAGACTGCAGTCTTCTGGGGTTGTTCTGTCGACCGGTGAAATTCCACTCGTCGTCCCGATGACGGAGACAGCACCTCCGAAACGTCGATAAAATTACTACCAAATTACAAGGCGCACTAACCCAGAAGACGCTAGAATTGTCTTCGAAGTGTCAGCCGACATGAACGCTCGGTTACATGTCAGACACTTCGTATAAATCTGGTGTTCGTGTTGGTGATTCTGACATGGAAAAACGTGGAATACCTTCGATTCTGATTTGCGTTGGTGCATAATATCACCTCTGAAGTATAGGGAGCTCAACATAACTTTAATCGGTTCAATGGATTAAGGATCAGCTCAAAAAAATAAAAAATTAACGTTCCATAAAATATCTCATTAACCCTTCGAAGCCGAAGATCGTCTGAATATTATTTATGAATTCAGTCCGTACCGCGAAGAAAACACTACACCTCACCATTACGAAAATCAGCTGGTTAACCCTTTGAAGCCGAAGCTCGTCTTCATAATATTTACGAATCCAGACCGTACCGCGAAGAAAACACTTCACTTAACCATTAGAAGTCGAATCAGGCGGTACCACATAAGATTTAACAAAAGAACATCGCGGTCAAAGCCTGAACATTCTCAAAGATTTCGTTTTTTAAGATTTGCCTCGTACATAGATCACTTTCGTATATAAACATGGATTAGTTATTTTACAGATCTGTGATAACTCAGGCACAAAACGAGACTCAGAAAAAGAATGAGGTGACATTAACTTGCAGGCGTTTGAAATAAATTCTACATATAAACAGCAATGAGACAGCTGGAAGGGAGGGGCACGTTGGGCCACAAAACTGTTGTCCAGTGATTTTTTCTTTTAAACTACGTTCAATTTTCACCACGTCAGACTCAAAATGTGCAAAACTGGTTTCTGACCTCAAGCAACCTACAGTATTACCAACAGTGCTAGCAGATTTGATACGAAGCCGCGACTGTCAGTGTTACCAACGTAGAATGGTAGTACAATTTGTAAACGTTGAATTGAAACGTGGATATAAGCGTTCATGACACATGCGAATACTATTTTGGCATTTACCTGAGTTTGAGGTTAATCTATTCACACGATTTAAAAAAAAAATCGATTAAAGACTTGGAAAGGTAGAACGTCTAAAGGAACAGAAATTGGTCACGGCATAATTTAACGTACTTTACCGGGATCTGTCTGGAAGGGCTGAGAAAAACCACGATATCTCAAAATAGGATGACAGGTTTCCGGGTCGGGATTTGAAATCCGGTACGTCCCAAATATGGATCAGGAGTCGAATGGGCGATTTGAGGTGAAGAAGGTGACATGACTAAAATTCGAACCAGGTACCTTATGCATACAAGTCTAAAAAAAAACCACTACTGCCACACAAACCTGCGAAACAGTTTATCTGCAATGGCTGTACAAATATTTGAACGAGATTTTTTTTCATTCACGTGACATTAACGTCGACAGACGCCGATGCATCGTCCAACATTTCAAGAACGTCTCAGCGCATTATCGTTTCAAAACGCTCATATTTTTACGCGGAAATTTTTTAACAACCTTGTTTCAGACACGATAATCCCAAAGTTATTTAAACAACAGAACATTTCCCGTTCGCTGTCGAAATTTCTTCACACTTTCCACGTATAAGAACTATACATTTTCAATTGTAACGTAATTCAGTTTCCATAAGTATAAACTGAAGCAGAAACAGACAGACAGACATTCAAGTTGCGTATTTAATCCTAACCTTGCCGCGTGTTAACACGATGGTAGGCCGAGAGCTACCGCTCACTGGCTTCAAAGAAATTTTTCCGAAGGCCATGCCAAAAATGCACCCAGTCAGTCAAAATAAAAAGCGACCTCCTACGTATGAACGTGTTTAATTAAACATTCATTAATAAATTCCGTCTCAAAGATAAGACTACTTATCTGTTTGCGAATGTGGGTCACTACAATTAATGACGTAAGAAGACGAACGTTACATTCATAATCGCAAAAAAAAAAAAAAAAAAAAAAAAAAATACGAACGACCAAATGTAATTCTAAACTGCGGTATTAACTCATCTGCAAAAATTTCGTGTTATCCCTGGGATTTCCGGCAAACCCAAAAATAGCCCAAAAGGGTACCGGTTTTAAGACGCTGAGAGAATTTTTTTTTCGTAAGTTGTACTCCTCG